GGGTACCTGGTCCATATGATCCTCCTACATTGCTTTTTCCTTCGGGCAGTTCTATGCCCAGTTCGAGGCCGCCAGTGCCACTTACGCCCGCGGCTCCACCTCGTTCAGCTTGCGCACTTGGTCCTGTAGGAGCACCTGCAGCACCAGTTCTAGTGCTGGCTGCACGTCGGCCCCCACCGATTATTGCATGACACTGTTCACTGTCGTCGTCTTTCTTTTTCCCATCGACCATGCAGTAATCGGCACTACCGAAAGGATCCGTATTATTATCACCATTCGCTGCGGAAACAATATCTGTGCCCTTTGTGGCGCGATCGTCATCGTGCGGTTTAGGTGCCGTAGTATCTGGCGCCACCGGAACAGTCTGCGCAGTACCAGGGTCTCCCTTGGCACCATCACCAGATGTTCCCGTAGTTGCTCCTGTTCCTGCTGTCTCTGTTCCTGTTGATGGTGTTGGTGTCGGCTGTGTGTGGATTGGAGTGGACGCGTGCGCACCTCCGTCTTTGTCCGTTGTTTCTGCTATTGTGGACCCTGCTCGCGCTGGCTCCGATGCGTCCTTACTTCTTTTAACATGTTCACCTATAAGTTCAAGCGGAAAGAAGGACGAAAAGAATATGCATGAAACTGAAATTTTACGAGTTGGTTGGGCCCATGGTTCACGGTGGTTGATCATGCTGCGTTGACCACGGTCCGTCGCTGGATGGTTGTGCACACCGTCGGCTACACGTGGATCGAGCACGGTCCGTTGACCACACGGTAGGCCACACGGTTGGTGCGTGCGGTCGTTTCACGGGTGACCGCCGCTCGGGTGACGAGGCAGGGATGGGGCAGGAGGACTGCCGGGGCAGGAGGACTGCCGGGGCAGGAGGACTGCCGGGGCAGGAGGACTGCCGGGGCAGGGTGGTTACGGTGCACCCGGGAAAAGACTCTCTCTCTGCCACACACAACACACACACACAGTGTGTGTGTCTCTGTCGACGTCTATGTCTCTACGTCTACATCCAGCGGCCGACCCATCGGTCTTCCGCTCACTCTCATTGCCTTTGTTTGTTCTCTGTCCTGAAATTGTTGTTTGTTTTTTTTTTTTTGTGTTTTTTTTTGTTCTCTCGTTCTTTGTTCTCATCGGACTCACTACCTGGGGTACCACTTCCTGAGCATCCAGTGGATGAGGAATCTACGAAGCTGATTGTGACGCTTACATTATGGTCACCTACTTTCTTATTCTCAGTGTGTGTCTGCGTCCCACATGTAGACTTGTTGTCGGATACAACGTTCTTACCTGGGGCTTTCGTCGTAGCAGCGTCTGCTCCCCCAGTACTGCCCGTACCTCCACCTGTTCCAGTACCTGAGCTTGATTGCGGGGGAGGTGGGGGTTGTGGTCCTGGCTGTGACTTCGGAACGGGTGGTGATTGTGGTGCTGATGGTAGCTGTGGTGGTGGTGGCGGTTCTGGGTTGTTGCCTCCTGCAAATGAAGCAAGGAAGATACACGACAAAATGATACAAAAAAACGACACAAAGTGGTACAGAAAGAAGGGGCGGGACGTGTTAGAAGAAGAAAAAGAAAGAGAGAAAGGAACGAAGTGGGTTGGGTGGGATGGATTAGGTACGTTGGCCGGACGGTTAGTACACTTTTATTTGTTGCCGTCATCTCGGCGCTCCATGCGTCGTCCATCGTCCGCCGTCCTGTGCCTCGGCGCCGCTACACAGTGGCCGCTGCCGCTACATACTGGTAGCTACATAGTCGTCGTCGCTACCGCTGCCGTCGTGGCCGCTCCACACTCTTCTACACAGTGGCCAACGCTGCCACCGGTACGCTCGTCGCGCCCGTCATGGCCGATCAACGTCAACGAAGTCGTTTGCTGCGCTCGACTCAGCGAAGGGACCGTGCGTGGTGTTGTTGTGTTGTGGTGGCGGCATCCATATGCGTCGGTATCGGTGGCGGCCGTGTGCGTATTCGTGTGCGGCCATATCGGTACTGAGCGGCCGTGCCATGCGTAGTGGGTCATATGATACGTATTCGGCAGCATGGGTAGCTTCCATATATTCGTGTTCTTACCTATGCGGTTTACAATTTTTTCCTCTATTTTCTTTTTCACTTTTTCCACTGCTTTCTTCGTGTCCTTTACTACCTGCTTCTCCATGGTTTTTACTTCAGGGATTTTCGTTTCGTCCACTTTTCCGCTGCCATCTTCGCTCTCCCTCCCGGCTGTATACGTCTGCCACTCCTGTTCAGAGGGCATCTGTTTCTCTATGTGTGCTATTTCTCCCATTATTCCTTGGTCTACTAACCATTCTGCTATGTATCCATCTATTATTCCGGGTGTCCTCCAACTGCCTTTGTACCCACATTGTGTGCATCTGCCATCCATAACGGGACCCGAGATTGTCACTGCACCAGTTTCTTCCTCTTTGCCCATTTTGTGGAATGTTTTCCAGGCATATTCTACACCCCTCTTCCATCCTCGATTATATTTACAGTAAAGATGTTTCAGCATGTATCCAAATACATTCGCTACCTCACACCGGAACCGTTGCGTCATTCTATCTGTCTTTCCATTACTCCCATCCATTACCTCTGTGTTCGCAAAGAATAGCGCAGTACTCATAAGTCTGCACCGTACGACGTCTGCTACCGTTTGCCCCGTATAATAGTCTTTCCCGTTGCCGAAATCATCCCAACCAGAATTATCACAGTTGGCACCGTATGCATCCATCTGGTCCGTGTTCTTCTCCATATAATCAATAAATTCCTGCAATACGGTCTTCATTTGTTCCATGTCATCACTCTGTATTATGCACATGGTAATAGAGACATGCTCATGTTCATGTATCGAGTCTATATCTTTCCTCCTCTATACATGTACACCCCCTGTATGTATATATAGCTTATGAATAATTTCTCCTTGTACCCTCTATGTCTGTCACCCCCCTTTTCGTGCTGCGTATACAGTAACTTACACTGTAATGACTAATCACGTGCACTGGCCGTCGCTTGTGTTCCAATATGCTCTTCCATGGACAATCCTCTTCTTTGGTCGTCGTTTTCCCCTTCTCTGCGGCACCGGGACCATCCTTACCAGTCTTACCACCACCACCAACAGATGTCGTCGTCGTTGCCCCCGGTCCCGTGGTCGTGGGTTTCCCATCCGTCGTTGCCACCGCTGTTGATGCCGGTTGCGGCGCTACTGGTTTGACAGGTTTCTTTCCTCCGTCGACGGGTGGTGGTGCTGGTTTGGCTGCTGCTGGTTTGGCCGGGGCCGGTTTGCTGTTGCCACCGGGTTTGGCGGCGGCTGGTTCGACTGACGGTGTGGAGGATACTCCCGAGGATCCTGGTCGAGTAGGTGTCGGTTGTGCTGACTTCGCGTTGCCTGCCCCACTGGGATTAACGTTCTGGACTTTCGGAGTTTTAGCTTGTGGATTCACTCTGTCCTGCACGTTCTTGACCTGTGCCTTTATCTTCTTCTCTATATCACATTTCTCCATGGATGACCCTGTTTGTTGGATGTCTTCTAACACCTTCTGTAGGAGCGCAAGGGAAGCACTATCCGCCCAGTGTTTTATGCGTGTCATGAGCTCAGAGTTCGTCGGTGTCGCGCCGGATGTTGCAGTACATTGTGCTTCACTCTTCTGGCGTCTGTCGTGCTCTGGCCAAGCACACGTCTGCCCCGAGCCGTATGTACTGGTCGCCGTGCCTCCTGGCAAACCCTCCTTCCATTCGTCCAGACGCTGCTGTAGGCCTGGTCCAATACCTCCTACTCCGAATATGACTTCCCCATAGTCCCACCCCTCACAAACCCCAGGTTCATATTGCGTTTGCCCTGGTGTATCCGGTTTCTGCAGTTGTGCCTGAACCTTCTTTATTACGTCCTGGTGGTCAGTAGTTTTCCCATACACCTGTAGTAAAACCTCAGTCGCAAGTGTACATCTTAAATATTCCATAAACATGTCTCCGCTGCTGTCATGCACCAGTCTTTTTGTGCAATTGCCCGTACTGCAACTGTATCCCTTTATGTATAACATAATGTTCACAATGTCCATACACCTGCTCTTGCATGTGGACATATTTGGCTGCGCTCCGGTATATATACTTCCACAAATACCAGCGTTGAGGCCTCTACCTTGGCTGATCGTCTGTGTTAAGTCCTGGAATATTCCGGCAACATCCTTCATTAATTGTTGCTGCGGATAGAAGAATCGATGTGTGCGTGTACATATTCGTTATGCCTGTGTTCTCTTAAATCCATCTACATTTAATCACACCTCTGTTCAGATGCATGCAGTCTCCGTGAACTGTATGTGTGCTGAGCATGCCCCCCTTACTTTACGACATTTATATAAATAGTCTATGCGCACACATACAGGTTGCAAAGTAGCATGTACATATATTCCTGTCCAAAGTGCACTATTGCCCTGCGTCCGGAATGTTGTGTACAATGGAACTTACCCAATATGTGTTCCCACGCGTTATTCCGTTTCTCTGTAGATACTCCTCCCATGACCCTAGAAAGGGCAGTATGTGCTGGTCATTTTCGCGGAGCATATTGAACACTTTATTATTCCCTTCTTAAAAAAAAAGTACGACTACTACTACTACTATTACTACTATCGCTGAATAACAACAACAACAACAAAAAAAATTATACACTCCCCCCTTTCTACACCGGTCTCCACTAAACGCCTGTCACACACACTGGCTGTCTCTGCGTACACCTAAAACCCCGCAGTATAACAACATCAAGTGCTTCTGCCGTCGTTGCCACCGGTTTCGCCGCTAATGGTTTGGCTGGTGCGTTGTCGTTTTGCTTAGGGGCGGGTTTGCTAACGGTGTTCTCATTTCCCGATTTGCCTACTCCTGGTGATGACGGCGTTTCCTCTGCTGGTCTGGCTGGTAATACTGGAGCCGCCGGTAGTTGCGCCTTCTCAGTACTTTGGTCCTTAGTACTGGCGTCCGTTGACTTCTTGCCGTCCTCGTTTTTCTTCTTGGCTTCCGCTGCTGAAAAAAGGAGAAGGAAGACAAAATGGTACAAAGATGATAAAAAAAAAAAGGGACACAAGTGGTACAGCAATGGCCGGACAGTGTTAGAAGCAAAAAGAAGAAAGGAAGGAAAAGCATGGTGGGTGGCGCACTCGGTGGACTGCGTACTCGGTGAACTGGGTTGCGATGGTAGCCGTGCAACTTTTATGTTGTTGTTGCCGTTACGCTCCTGCATCGTGCTGTCCCTCGTGGTCGCTACTGCTACCGTGTTGGCCGCGCCGCTCAACCGAAGTGGGGGCAGCGAAGTGGCCGCCCTGTGCTGTTGTGCTGTTCCCCCCCGCGTGTGCGTTGTTGTTCGCGCGTGCGTTGTTGTCGCCGCGTGTTGTTGTGGCGGCATGCCTAGCATCCGTGCTTTTCGTACGGTACGTATGTGGCCGTAGTCAGTCGTGCCATTCGTATTGGGCCCTATGCGGTCGTATCCGTATCAGCGGTATCGGCCGTATATGCGTATTCTTACGAGTCGTATTCGTATCTTTACCTTTATCTTGTTCACTTTTCTTTTTTTCAATTTCTTCGTCTATTTTTGCTGTCACTTCCTGAATTGCCGCCTGCGTTTTTTGTACTATCTCCTTTTCCGTTTTTGTTACTTCAGGGATATTTTTCCAGTCCACGTTTCCGTTGCCATCAGTCCTCCCCGGACCCGACTTATAGTCCTTCCACTGCATAGCGCAGTGCGCGGTACGCTCCAATTGTCCTATTTTGTGCATTAGGTTCCCCTCATGTATTAACAACTGTGCCATGTGTCCGTTTACTACTCTCACTACCGGGTTCTTAATGTCATAGCCACATTCTGTGCACCTTGCGTCAATTACAGGACCTCTGTCTGCTCCCTTAATTCCTCCAGGGTCTCCCATGGATTTCACTGTTTTCCAGGCATACTTTATGCCTCTTGTCCAGGCTGTCTTATGTGCACAATACTTGTGGTGCAGTATATACCCAAAAGCGTTAACTACGTCGCATCTCAGTCTCTCCTCGTCTGCACTCATATGCGCACTTCCCCCGTTCGCGTTCTTGTGTTGTGTGTTGTCACCGTTCGCAAACCACAATGCTCGTGTCAGGAGTCTGCACCGTACTACGTCCGCTACTGTTTGCTCCTTGTAATAGATGTCGTCCTGGTCTATATCGTTCCAACCTGTATTATAACAATTCGCCCCTAAGGCATGCACCGTGCCGTATGGATCTTCCATGTAATCCATAAAATCATGCAACACGTCCTTCATTCTTTCCAGTTCTTCCTTCTGCATTATGTACATAGAGAACACATGA